AGGGAATAGGGCGGCATATAAATAAAATAAAACTTAAACTTAAACTTAAACTTACAAGTAAAAAGAACACTATACAAATCTGTGTAAAAATATATAAAAAGCGAGAGCATCTTCAAACAAGCAACGGCCCCTGGGCTATGTACCACTATTGAATCCCCATGCTAGTTCTAAAGGTGAGTGGAGGCCAACCTCACCTCCAGAGGCAAGATGTTCCATAGGTGGGGGCAATAGCAGAAAGGTTAAAGAAATCCCAATTGAATATATTGATCTGCCTAAGCCCTTCAGAGAATTCATTTCCCCCCATCTCTAGCCTCCCAGCTTCCTTTACTAAGGATCCTTCCATCTGTTCCTGCACATGATTCAGTTATTGTTCTTATTGCTATTAGAACCTCTGAACCCCCACTCCCATCTATTTACTGCACCTTAACTGGCCTCTCCCACTAAATGGTAAAGTGGTGCCCAACCCACTTATTCTCTCTTCCCAACTCTCACTCAGAAACACACACAGCCTCCTCACACAACCCAAGATCCATTCTCAAGGCCTATCCCACACTGGATGTCAATCAGTGACAGATTCAGTTTGCCAAAATTAATAGAAACTGGAGCAGGCTCCTTTTTAGTTATATTCTTTATGATCAGAATTTAAAAAACATCCATACTCTTTTCATTTCCTCATTAGAATGGAACTTAGGATATTGAATTGTTATGAAGATATAAACCACTCAAACTCTCATAAATATCAGCCTGGGTTTTCACATTATACACTCTTCTGATCATAAGCACCTAAACTGGGAGGACTATGCTATGCTCCTAGGTCTTTGCTACAAGCTGAGTAAGATCTTCTTGCTTAGCCACAATTTTTCCATTAATAAACTAAACATCATGCACACATTCTAACTAAACATTATGCACAAATTCCTAAATAGTGCCAAACTGGGATACTGCTTTCAGGATCAAAAGCCAAGAAGGCAGATAACAAATAATATATTATTTATAATGATCAAAACACTGAAAGAAATTCAGAACAAATGTTAGGTATTGAATTACCTGTAATAGAGAATAAGGAACTAAGAAGAAAGACTAATTTAAAGCACTAATACAATTAAAAATAGATGGGATAGGAAAGTTGAAAAAGCTAATTGAAGGAGAAACAAAGAAAAAAAGAACATGTGGTTATTACAAATAAATCAATTAGTTTACTGTTTATAAAAGAAACTTAAATACAGAAAAAAAGATATTGGATGACAATGAAATATGACTACAGTGACTTCAAACAAGTATATCCTCTACAATCTTGCCATCTATCCAAAATGCTATGATGAAAACAGCTAAGGTAAAAATTCATTCTGATTTAAGGATAGCTCCTATCAATCATCCCATATCCAACTAAGATGAGTGAAACTGAAAAATGCTATTTAAAATCCCTACTTGGCAGGCAGAGCAATACCCTACTCTTTCCAATGAGCTAAGTTCCAAAATACATTTTGAACTGAAGCTTGCACAAGCATTATTTATTTAAATTTATTGGCTGCCCTACTCCAGTGGATCCCTCCTATGCCTTAAAAATCTCAACCAATAAAACAACAGGTTCCATTTTTTTCCAGAATAATTGATTAGCCAGTGAGGTGACATTCATCTTTCATCAGTGGAAGAAAGAAATTAACAGCAATGGAAAATAAGAAAAATTGTGAGAAAACCATATACATATACTGTATGTATGAAGGTATCTACATCCATATATTATGCTATATTTTATACTAACAGTGCCTCTCTTAGTTAGAGACCTCTCTATCATTTGCTATTTGATTCTTGTATCTGAAGATGCTAGGAAAGTAATCTAGGACCTAGACTTAGTCTTGGTGGCCCATCGCCATGGTTCCTGGCCACAAAAGGTATTTAAGGTCTATGGTAAAAATAAAAAAAAAGGTTGCAAATCACTGCTTTCCTGGGGAATGTTTCATTCACCTACTTGGAGGGGAATGCAGAAAGCATCTCATCTAAAAACTCCCCCGTATATTCAGCAAAATGCAAACTGCCAAAAACGGAACTGAAATATTGATGCAATTTAATTTTCATGTATTAATATGCAAATTAATATTGCATCCTTATGAAAAGTTACATTAACAGCATTAAACTAAAAATGTATTAAATTGACAAATCTGCCATATAAAAATCAACTGTTACCAAGTACACCATTTCCAATAATTGCAGAATAATTGAGTTCTATGTCTGCTGATTGCATTAGAAAGTC